CGACCTTTTTCTCTATATATAGTATTAGATATGTATTATTTGTATTTAGTTATTTAAATATTTATTAACTCGTTGTGAAAACACAGAAACAAAATTTAAAATTAACATTTTTGTTTTTTCTATTAATTTTTTAAATTATAATTTAGCATCTTTTAATATTCAAATATTTTCATTCTGTGTTATTTATTATTTATTCAAGTATATCAATATTATTGTTATTGTTTATTTTTGATCAGGATTTTCTTGATATTTCAGCCTAATAAGATTAGAACTTTTAAAATTATTTATAATCTTACTCTAAGCAATATTGCCATTAAGTGTCATTTGTTTCCTCTTCAGTTTCACTACCAATATCGACAGGGTTAGATTCTTCCATTAAAGAATTTCCTTTGTTCTATTGTGGGTGCCTTCAGTTTTTTCTAATTACTTGCTAATATATGAATTCAAGTAGTTTAAGAAAATGTTTTATTAGAATATAAAAATAAAAATGATATTTTACAAGTAATTTAACTTCTTATTTTACTTTAGAAAAGTTAAATGTTTTATATTAATTAATCCAAAAATATTTATGAGTACAAATAGAAGAAAATTGATCCATAAATACATTAGAAATGCTGATGAATGGAGTGTGAGTGTGTGTGTGTGTGTAGCTTATTTATTTTGCGAATTTAATTTGAAGAAATTTTTATAATTCTATTGAAAATTTAAATTTTTTGAGATTGATTATTAAGATAGTAAAAATTTTAAAAAGAAATTTACAATAAAAATCTTGTAAAAACAAACATCGTATTTAAATAGAGAAAAGTAGTTTGGTATAGTGGTAGTCAATTTAGTTAATAATATTAATAATAATAAATTGTTTGAGAGCTACTAAAATACATCGATCGATATCTTTTATATTTACTTTATATTAATTAACCAACCACAATTATTTATCAGATTATTTAAATAAATTATTTAAATTTTCAATGTCAGATATAACTTTCTAAGCGGACTAGGCGAATTAATCTTATGTGATGAATCTGCCATGTTCTTGTAATCTTATCGAAGGCAAATTACCTTCAGAAAATAACCTAGCTAGTGATAATTCATCTGAAACTTCTTCTGGTACAAGGGTAGCTTAAGATTTTAATACATTATACAAAGATACATAAAAAGAAAAACATTAGCTGATCAAGACAAAAAGAGAAAAGGTCAGCTCTAATTGTAATCAAAACTGCAATTTTTAAAAGGATTCCAAAACTTCAAATGGTTTGTTTTAAAATATCTCTGATGGTGACTACAAAAGACCCGAAGATTAATAGATTTTAAACTCTTCTCTTAAAGAAGACCAAAGCTAATTGGCTGAGTAAAAAACAACAAGTAAAACTACCAACTAAGAGATACAAAATATTAAGATGAAATGTATATAATCAATTTAGGGATTACAACTAAATAAAAAGAGAAAGTAAAATGAAGTTAGCACTTCTTCTTTAAGCTAGTAAAAAGAGGATATCAACAACATTCTAGATAAAAATGAGAATTAAAATTGTTTAAATAAGCTAAAAGTAGAAGATTTGAGCCTTCCAAGAAAAGTACTAAAGACTAATATATCTAGCAATCAACCAGCAACTAGTGAAGAAGATATTTCTAAGATAAATTAGATTTAAGATAGTTATTAATAAAATTTGTGTCAACCAAAAAACTCTCAGCAAATTAGAACATATAATTAAACATAAAATTTACCTCACTCTGTCTCTTCTATTGAGGATTCAGAAGAATCTTTCTCATCAGAAAACATAGAATTAGACTAAGAAGCTTTATAAAAATAAAATGTTAACAAACCATTATTATAGTAAGGATTGGCTGGCGAAATAGTGGCGAATGATGATTAAAATGTTTAAAACAGAGATATTCTACTTTCACTTATTAATAAGGTAAAGAAATCGTTCAAGTAAAAGATCTAATAAATACACGATATTCGAGATGAAACTAAAATAGAATTAGGCTAGATTCTAAATTAAATTTAAACGCATTGTAATCAAAGCGATTTAGGTGATAAGGCTGAAAAAGAAGTATAATCTGACAAATTTAATTAGCTGATTGATAAGGCAAATTCTATGTAACTTCTAAATAAAAATGGGAGTTTAGAAGAAAAGGATGTTAAACTATGCCAATTGATTCATAAAATTGTTTCTTAAGACGATATCTAAACAAATGAAAATTAAGATGCTCTCCATCAATAATTAATTGAAGTACAGTCATAATTATCATCTGATTATGAAAGCATGGAATGCAGAGAAGAAAGCATTAGTGATTTAGTTTAACCACCAAATTTCAACTCTAATTCTATCTAAATTTAAGCTGGATAATAATTATCTGAGAGTGTTTCATCGAGTGATGATTCAGCATTAAATAATGATGACCAAGAGTTAGAAAATCATGAGAATGATAAATATATCTTTATTTCTGATACTGAAGAACAATCAGACAATTAAATAAAATTCGACTCAAGCTAATATGAAAATGATTACATTCTTATCCTTGATTTGGATAACACCCTTGTGCATAGTTATATGGGTGGTCCTTCTATTCTTGGAAAAGGAGATCCAACAGTCAATAAAATTGAAACTCATGTAAATTAGTAGAAACTGTATATCAAAAGAAGACCCTATTTGAAAGAGTTCTTTGAAGTTGCATTCAAAAATTTCAAAGTAGTCATGTACACTTTAGGATCTTTAGGTTATGCCAAGGCTGTTTATTATCTCCTTAAAAAAGAATACCCTGAAATATTTTCATAATATGGTTTTTTGAAAATAATCGCCTAAAATACTTAAAAAACAACAGCCTATACAGCAGTTTAGCAAATATCTTCACCATAAGTTGCTGTTTAATAAAATAATTCCTAACCATAGTTAAATAATAATAGTAATAGTGATAGCGAATCAAATTAATAATTGTAAAAAAACTGCGATTCCTAATAAAATCCCTCACTTTAACAACCTGTCTACACAAATAAATATCTTAAAAATATATCAAAATATTTCCCACCAGAAAAGTTTTCTAAAAGACTTTTAATATTTGATGATAACTCAAGAGTCTATGAGCAAAGTTGGTGGAAAAATGCCATTTTTACTAAACCTTATTACTTTTGGTTGAATAACAACAACTCTATTTCTACTTCTTCAGATAGTTTTTTATACTTTGCAGCTGAGTTGCTTAAGCGCATTTTACGTCACACATAACGTAATACAATTGATCTTCCATTAATATATCAGCTAATCAGAAGATAACTATTGCATAAATGCAAATTTTTCATTCTAAATGATAATCCAGAGAGAGAAAATCTAGAAGAATTAATCAAAGAACTCGGAGGGTCTATTATTCCAAAACTTTATGAGAGAAATTAAATTAAATAAAATTAATAATAAAAGAATAGTAAAATAAATGAAGATAAAACTAAAGAAGAAGAAATTACTCTTCCAAATTATATTATTTTAAGCGAATTATCTGAGGCTAATGTGGGTACTTAAAAATTTGCGTTTAATCATGGAATTAAAATAGTCTCTTCTGATTGGATCAAATATTGCTTTTTACTAAACTTTAAAGTATCTAGTGACATCTTTATCTTACACAACTACACTCAATATTAATAATCATAAAATTACCCAAATTTAGAAACAGATTTAGTCAATTAATTTATTTTGCATTCACAAGCTTAAAATAATTTATAAAAATAATGAATGAATTAATAAATTTAAACCAAAAAATAAACTAAATAAATAAATAAAAATCTTTAGAAGAAACAAACAAAATTGAAATTAATAAATAAAAATATTTTAAAATTGAAAACAAATGAATAAAAAAATTATTTGAATTTTCAGTAGATATTTATTGATTTAACTATCTAAATAAAATATCTTTTTCAAAATTGTATTAAATAAATAAATAATAAATTAAGTAAGTAAGTAAGTAAATAAATTAATACAAATATTAATGTAAATAATATTTTATATAAATTTATTATATTATTTAATTATTGTTAACTAGAAAAAAAGTAACAAAATTTTCTTTATTTTTCATTTTTCATGATAGTATTTTAAATTTTAACTTTTAACTTTAAGCTTTAATACATTTATTTATTGTGTTTTAGAATTATATAATTGCCCCTCTATTTTTCTGATTGATATTTATTAAAATTTTTGTTTTTACTAATATTTTTAAAAGATTTTTCAATCAAAACATAAAAAAATAAAACTAAAATTAAAAAGGCCATTAAATAAATTTGTACAACAATAATATAAAAAATATTTTATTTTCAAAATATTTGTTGTTAAAAGTTTAAGAAAATATGAATGATTAAAAATCTTACAAATTAATTTAAATAAGTTTTATTTAATTGTAATTAATTTAATGAATCAATTTCGGCCATAAAAATTATTTATCAAATTATTTGTTTACTATGAAACTCTGTTACTATTTCCATTAAATTATTTATTTTTTGATATTTAATAGATGAGGTAAAATTGATTGAAAAAATTGTTATTTAATTATTATTAAGCTTTAACAACTTTAAGCATATCTTTTTATCTTAAATTCTGGTATTAATTTTCTATTTTAATTATTTGACGGCAATTAAATGGTATTTATCAGTGACTGATCAAGGAAAATTTTAAAGTGGATACTACAATTAACTAAGGAAATTTTGTTGCTTTTCATTCTTTATTAAAGTTAAAAAGCACATTATAATATTTAAGATAAACTTAAAAATTATAATGAGTATAACTATAGTAGAGAAATTAATTATATTATTATTTGCTATTATTTATTGATCAAGAAATCCAATACAAATCATAATAGCTTAAAGACCTACATTTAGAATTTAATCAAAGACCAGATAAACTTTCATAATACGATATTTAAAAGGGTTTTTTCTCAAATAATATAAAAGCTAAATAACACTTATAACAAATAGAAGAATTTGAGAGAGAAGTAAATTATCTTTGAAGATCACAACAATCAAGATATGAATTATTTTAATTAATTCAATATTTATGTAAAATAAATTATCATTTTTTGAAAAACATTCGAATAGACTATTGTAGGTTTCTAGAAATAAAAAATCTTAATTTTAGCTTTTATTCATTTTTTTCCATATTTGTTAAAATTTAAAATAAAAGCAAAATAGAAAAAGAATCGTCATAGAGCAGATGGTGATATTAAGTATTGATTAAAGTGATAAGGATATATCATAAATAAAGTAAACCGAGATATTAACTAAAATCTGTAATGAGCAAAATAATATTATTCTAACAAGGTTCTATGGGGATATTTTATATTAACTTAATTTTTGCCAAAATTTATATTTGCTTAATAAGAAAGTGCTTAACTAATATAAAGCAATTATGACCACACTTAAAAATACAAGAGAGTTGTTAAGGATAAAACTTTTTCTTAATTAAAATATTTTTAGAATTTTAAAAATAAAACTATTTGTTAAAACTGAAGTATCATAGTTATTTTCTATGTTGCTAAAGCTTTGATCGAATAGCAAACCTGTAAGAGATTAAAAAGGAATCATTGGAAAGAAATTAAATATTTGATAGATTCTATTAAAAAAGAGATTTGATAATCCTAATATCTTGATAGAATATAAATAGTATAAGCCTAATTATTAATTACTCTAAATAAAATAAATAAAACATAGCTATTTTGACTTATTTTTTTTTATAACCAAAACCCACAACAAAAGCATTACCAAAATCAATACCAAGAATATATACTATGTGGTAACCATTATACTTTACTCTAAGGAGCAGTCAGATTCTTAATTAAAACATTCAAAGTACTATTATTATAAAGGTTAACAACTAATCACGTTTTTCACGTAATCAGCTTATGGAATATAACCCTTACTACACCTTATGCAGCTCTATCCATCTGAACAAGCTAAGCAATTACTTACACAGTTCTAACAAACCATATAATCTCTATTAAAATATTATGATTCTCTACAAACAAACATTAATTGTTTAGGATATTTAGTTATTTCTTCTTATTTGATTGAATTGAATATTTTAACTAAAAATTTTATTTTTCTTGCTTGTTTATCTTCTCTTAAAATCAATCAAAATAATTTGACTTTATTTGAATCCACTATCCTTATTTATTGGTTCTATTTTATTATATAATTAGTTAATAAATAAATAAAATAAATCAAAAACACTATTATTTATGTAAACTATAAAAGAAAAAATTTAATAACCGAGTAAATAATAATCAGGCAGAAAAAAGATATCAGAAATCTATGGTATATATTAGATTTTCTTTACAGGATATTAATTTTTATTTAATAGAAAAATCAAAATACTTCTATAACTTACAATCACTTAAAACTTATGTTTATATTTTGAAACTTTTTTTCAAGAAAAATGGTATTTTTTTTTTTTTGAGATATTTAAAGTGTATTTTTAAAATATTTTTTAATTTAATTTTATTATAGAATATTTGTTGTAAGAATCTCAATTACTTAAGAATAATAAATAGAAAAGAGAAGTTCGTTAATGATATTTTTAAATTATAAAAATAAAATTTTTGATAGTAATTCAAGTGGCTATAAATTTCTATTGGCAAATACCAACTTAAAGCTACATCAATATGTATTATTTATTTACTTACATTTTTCAATTTGAAAAACAAAATTTAATTTGTTACAACAAATATTTAGTTTAAAATAATAAATTAATCCATTATATAGGATCTCATTTTTAATATTTAATTCTAATTTATTGATTTTAAATTCAGTGTTTTATTTGTTATATTAACTCATTTTATTAAATGATCATTTTGTAAAACTAAAGTTATGATTTCATAAAGATGATGTGTTTGATATATTATTTATGAGATAAAGTTTGATAATAATCATATCCGAACTAGTAATTTAAAGTGTCTTATTGTAATTTATTGCTTATAGAGCTTTTAATTGGTGAGGATTTTGGGGGATCTTTAGTGGTAAATTTTTAATAATAAAGAGATTCAGTCAGTCATTGAATCATTTATAAATTTTAATAATTAAATATTTTTTAAAAATTAATAGTCATTATAGTATCTAAAATTAAATTTAAATGATGGTATTTTCTATATTTTCTAATTACTATAATGAAAAAATTAGTATTTTATATTTGAGATATAAGAGATTTATTAAATAATTTAATTTATTAATTTAATAAGCATTTGCTGATCTATTTCTAAAGAAATCAATAAATTTTAAAATGAAAATTATTAATTAATTTTACTGATATGGGATTGATTCAATTATTTTTAAAACAAACTATCAAAGAATTTAGTAATCTCTAAAAATGCATCTAACTTAAATTAATTAATATAGGGTGTTGCTAAAACTTTTCTGATATATATTCATTAAGGAAGAGATTCAAAATTTAATTTGATAATATTCATAAAAAAACCTTATCTAGGATATTGAACTGGTTTCTTATTGAGGATCTACGGAAATTAAAAAATTTTTATTAAAAACCTTAATTATTTAGATATTGAGCCTAAATACAATAAATTGAATTTATTTATGAAAAAACCTATAGCTTGGCTTGTTATTATTTTACAATTTTTCTTAAAACTATATGTAAGTTTATATAATAAAGGAAGGAAAAAAAGATATTGTATTTGTTGATAATATAATTTAAAGAAAATCGCTCTTGCAGCTATGGCACACCCCAGTTCTTAAAACTAAACTTATGAATATCTCCTGCCCAATTAATTAATCATTAGAATCTCAAGACCTGTATTTAAACACGCCTTATATGTCCTTCTATATATTAACTATTTTCAAACATAATAAATAACAAAATAAAATAAAAATAAATAATCTGATAAATTCTACTTTTTATTCGGTGATTACACTTATCAAAAATCTGAATTAAAATAGCAATAAACAATCAACTTGTTCATTTTCTCTCCAGTAATCATTTTTTAGCTTTATTTTATAGCCTTATTAATTTATAGCTGAGTTTGGCTCGATATATTGAGCACTTTTTGTCTTATGGATTTAAATATTATCATTTTTTGATATGATTGAATTAATTAATGCATTATTTAGTGACTTTTCCTTCATCGCAACTATTAAGAAAAATACAAATATTTTTTTACAATTTTTCTTAAATGTTATAAATGTTACCTTCATTTAGAATTAATGATAATTGTTTTAAATCTAAATTTTTCATAAATTCTAATCAATGAATGAATGATACATGAAAAATTAATCAATCAAAGTTTACTTTTCATATTATTTGATTAAAATCTAATATATTGTTTAATTTTTAAAGTAAGTTAATTTATTTATGCGACTAAAAACTAAAACACATAACTATAAAATATTTAAAATATAATTTAAGATCCTCTGGTATATTATGAGTTAGTTAGTTAGTTACCAGCTCACATTTAAAAGGCCTTACACTATTTTTTTGATTTGTTTTACAATAATAAAACTTAAAAAAAATATTTTAATTTTGAAAATATTTGTTTGTAATAAAAATTTATTATAATTTAAGAAAATATGAATGAATGAATGATTATAAAAATCTTACTAATTAATTAAAATAGGTTTTTTTTTAATTGTAACTAAATTAAGTTAATTAATTAATTCTGACCATAAATATGGTTAATTAAATTGTATATTTTATTATGAAACTCTGCTACTATTTCCATTAAATTATTTATTTATTGATATTTAATAGATGAGATTATATTGATTGAAATAATTGTTATTTAATTATTATTTTTATTATTGTTATTTAGCTTTAGCTTTTACCATAACTTTTTATCTTAAATTCAGGTATTAATTTTCTATTTTAATTATTTGATGGCAATTAAATGGCATTTATCAATGGTTGGTCAAGGAAAGTTTTAAAGTGGCTAAGACAATTGACTAAGGAAATTTTACTGCTTTTCATTCTTTATTAAAGTTAAAAAGCACATTACAATATTTAAAATAAACTTGAATATCAGAATTAATATAACCACGCAAGAGAAATTAACAATATTCTTATTTGCTGTTATTTATTGATTAAGAAATCCAATACAAATCATAAGAGCTTAAAGAGCTATGTTTAGAATTTAATCAAATACTAGATAAAATTTCATAATACGAAATTTAAAAGGGTTTTTTCTCAAATAGTGTAAAAGCTAAATAACACTAATAACAAATAGAAGAATTTGAGATAGAAGTAAATTATCTTTGAAGATAACGACAAGCAAGATATGAATTATCTTAATTAATTCAATATTTATGTAAAATAAATTATCATTTTTTGAAAAGCATTCGAATAGACTATTGTAGGTTTCTAGAAATAAATAGTCTTAACTCTAGCTATTATTCATTCTATTACATATTAGATATAATTTATAATAAAAGCAAAAGAGAAAAATAGTCGTCATAGAGCAGATGGTGATATTAAGTATTGATTAAAGTTATAGGGATATATCATAAATATAGTAAACTGAGATATTAACAAAAATCTGCAATGAGAAAAACAATATTAATCGAATGAGGTTCTAAGGAGATATTTTATATTAACTTAATTTCTCGCAAAATTAAAACTTGCTTAACAAGAATGTGCTTAACTAATATAAAGCAAACAAGGCCACACTTAAAAATACAAGAGAGTTGTTAAGAATAAAACTTTTTCTTAATTAAAACATTTTTAGCAAATCAAAGATAAAATTATTTGTTAAGCCTGAAGTATTGTAGCTATTTTCTATTTTGCTGATGCTTTGATTGAAGAGCGAATCTGTAAAAGATTAAAAAGGAATCATTGGAAAGAAATTAAATATTTGATAGATTCTATTAAAAAAGAGATTTGATAATCCTAATATTTTGATAGAATATAAATAGTATATGCCCAGTTATTAATTACTCTAAATGAAATAAATAAAAGAAAGCTATTTTGACTTATTTTTTTTTATTACCAAAATCCATAACAAAAGCATTACCAAAATCAATACCAAGAAAATATACTATGTAATAACCATTATATTTTACTCTAAGGAGCAGTCAAATTCTTAGTTAAAGCATTCGAAGTAGGATTATTATTTAGGTTAACAATTAATCACATTTTTAATGTAGTTAGCTTATGGAATATAACCTTAACTGCATCGAATGCAGCTCACTCCATCTGAACAAGCTAAGCAATTACTTATGCAGTTCAAACAAGCCATATAATCTCTATTAAAATATTATGATTCGGCACAAATATTATTTTAATTAGCTACTATCATTATTTAGAATATAGATTTATTATTATTTGATTCAATATATTAACTAAGTGTTTAATTTTTCTCGCTTCTTTATCTTATCTTCAAATCAATCAATCAAAATTAATTGTTTGGCTTTATCTGATTCCAATTACTTTATTTATTTATTGGTTCTATTTGATTAAAAAATTAATTATTAGAGTGGACAAATCAAAACAAAATTCTTTATGTAAACAATAAAAGAAAAATTTATAATTCTTGAGTAAATAATAAGCACGCATAAAAAGAATGTAAGAAATTTATGGTATATATTAGATTATATTTATAAGATATTAATTTTTATTTTATTTCAATATCAAAATACTTCTTTAATTTTTAATTATTCGAAATTTTCATTAATATTCTTTAAATTTTTTTAAGAAAAAAGATATTTTTTGATATATTTAAAGTGTATTTTTAAAATATTTATTTTGTATTTTTCCTCTAATAATTTTCTGATAAAACATTTTTTGTCATCATAATCCACTAAATAATAAATAAGAAAAGTTTTTTAAGAATATTTTTTTGTAAAAAAAATAAAACTATTAATAGTAATTCAAGTGTTTATTATTTTTTATTAAGTAAATGTAAACTAAAAACTACTTCAGTATATTATTTACATTTTTTCAGATTGAAAAACAACATTTAATTTGATAAAAAAGTACTTAATTATAAATAATAAATTAAAGTATGACAAGAATATTATTGTTAGAATTTAAAACTAATTTATTGATTTTAAATGTAGTAATTAATTAATTCATTTTATTTTTTTATCCATTTATAAAACTAAAGTTTTGAGTTGATAATGGTGGTGCATTTTATAAATTATTTATGAAATAAAATTTTGATAATAACCATACCCTTAACAGTAACCTATAGTGTTTTTTATAATTTATTGCTAGCAGAGCTTTCAAGATTGGTGAGGATTATTGAGGATCTTTGGTGGTAAATTATTAATAAAGAAAGAGAGTCATTCAATCTTTAATTAATTTAAAGGTAATTTTAATACATAAATATGATGTAATTTTATGTCTGTAAACAATATTATTTCCAAAAATGTGATAACTATAATAAAAATAAATAGTTAAATTTGAAAATATAGTAAGTATTTGCTGATAAATTTCTAAAAAAATCAATATTTATTAAATTAAAATTATTAATTAATTTTATTTACTCCTCAAAGATAGATTGATTGAAGCAAGTATTTTTAAAAGAATTTAGTAATCTAAAAATTCATCTAAATTAATATTTTAGTAATCTTTAAAAATACACTTAAATTAGTATTAAAGTAATCTTTAAAAATAAACCTGAATTAAATTTATTAATTAATTACTCTTATCCTCATATATTTTAATGCCTCCTTCCACCATATACACTTTTGGCCAAACTATGTTTGCCATAATCATTTTAAATCAAAATTTTTTGCTAAATTATATTTTGTCATATTTCAGGAAACTAAGATATTTTTTTATCCTTATTATTTATTAAATTTTTACAATAATATCATAGCAAATATTAAAAATAACAAATATTTATTATTGTATGTATATATTTATAGTAGCTTATTAATAATTATATTTATCATCAAAATAAATAAAAATGCTAAACTAAATACTTTTATTAACCATATATTTTTATTTTATGCTATTTATTAAAAACAAACACTCAAAAAATCAAAAAAAATTCAATAATTATCACTCATTTTTTAAAAAATTTATTTGCCAATCAATGCCATGAGAAACTAAGGTATTGTAATATTATTAAAAACGAATGAAATCGTTTAAAATATATTTAAATCATTTAGATTACTTTTTTGTAGTAGAGGAAATTTGTCTAATACGTGATTTAAAAATACAATAATTTAAATTTAAATCCAAACTATTTTTATAAAAATTAAGTATACATTCATTTGTTTTAATAATTTATCAATATTTTTTCTGATGTTTTAAAGTGAATTCTTGAAAACATATTTAAGCATAAATAAAAATAGAAAAATAACAATATCTATATTATAAAAAATAACTTTTAAAATTTAATTTAATATAAAAATAAAAAATTATTATTATCAAATGATTTGTAAATTTAGTAAATAATTTTTTTAAAGATTTGAAAAAAAATTATTTAACTTTTTTTTTAAATATCTTATTTATTCAAGAAGAAGAAGGAGCTTATGGAAAATTTTATAATCTAAATCTGAAACAAAAACTAAATGATAATTGAATTTATTATTAAATTGGCACAAAAAATATATTTTATCTTAGCCTAGCCATTTTTTTTAATTCAATAATTGATTTACATTAATTATTTAGTTTATATTTTTTAATTAATTATTTATGAAAAGCAGCTAGAAGATTCATAGTTTTTCTTTTTGCTTCTAGCAACTAAATTAAGTAAAATAAATATCCTAATTAATTTATATCTCAAATTTCAGATTAAATAATAAATATTAAAAATTTAATTCTGTTGAATAAATAGTCAAAAAATAAATACTCTTTGAATCAATCATTCATTTGTTATTTAATAATAAGTTTTAAGATATAAAAATGAGCTTAAATTTTACCATTAAAAGGTTCTTTACCATTGGAACATAAGGTGGACAGTTCATGAAAAAGTTTTATAAAAAGGCTACTGTTAAAAAATTAGAAAACCCAGTGCATAATAAGCATTTGTACGGAGTATTTTTGGATGGTAAACTTATAAGAACACCTTTAAAAAATAAATTAGCTCTACCAACTTATGAATTGGCATTCGCTATTGCTCATGAATTCAACATGCAAAATGAATATTTGAAACCAGCAACTATGCCAATTACATCTATTTCTAGAACCACAGTTGATATGGATATACAAGAAAATATTAGACAACATATTGAAGATTCTGTTAATCAATTTGTTAGAAACGATACTATTTTGTTTAGAGAAGAAGGAAAATTAGGAGTTATTTAAAATGAAAAGCTTAATCCTGTAATTGAATATGTCAATAAGTTAATGAATATCAAATTACAACCTACTGATTCCTTATTTTCAAGAGAATTAGAAGATATCGAAATATAAAACATTTAAAAATATATTGCTAGTAAAGATAATTGGACTTTAATGGCAATAGAATAAGCAACAGTTAACACTAAATCAACTTGTCTAGGTGTTTCATTAATTAATGGATTTCTTTCTATCGAATAAGCTTTAGAATATTCAAGATTAGAAGAAAATTTCTAAATAGAGTAATTTGGAATGGTCGAAGGTTCTCATGATTTAGAAGAAAATACTACTTTATTAAATATTTCTACTGCAAAATTATTTAGCTATCTTGCAAATCTTTGAATAAACTAAACTAAAATATTTATTTATAAGTTAATTAAATTTAAACAAACAAATCTTTGGCTAGCTTATTATTTGTACATAAATTATTATTTTGCATATTGTTTTTTATGGCATATATCTATCTTAAATCTATCAAATTAAATTATACAAGCAGAAGCAAAGAATTATTTTTTTTAGATAATATATTAAAAATTTTAGCTTATCATTATAGGATAATATATGAAAATTCTAACAAATTTAAAAAGAAAATGATATATTTTATTACTTATTTATTAAATATATCTAAATTTTTGTACACTAAAAAATTGTGTTAGAAGCTAATAAAAATTAGAATTCTTAAAGAAAAAAACATATTAAAAATTCAAATAAAATAAACCAAATTAAAGATATTTGTTAAAATATAAGGATTTTCATTTCCTCCTTTTATTTTAACTTTGATGAATTACTAATTTAAAAAAATTTTTAATTATATTCACAATTAATAATCGAAGATTATTAAGAATATATATAGATATAAATAAATCTTTCATACTTTAAGTATTAATTTTTAATAGTGTTACTTAAAATCATAAATAAATTTTAAATCAATTAAAAATTAATTTATAAATAAATAATTATAAATCAATGAAAATTTCATATTATATTTAACAAAGAAAGAGTTTCCTTATTTTATAAAATATTTTTCTTTTAGGATTACTTTGAAAAAAAAATAAATTGAAGCATATAGAGTGATTAAAATAGAACAGAAAAACTTAATTAAATTCAAATGAAGTAGATTTGAAAATTTATATTAACAAATTGGTATTTATTTATTTAATTAATCTAATTGGCGGACTTTTAAAAAAGTTTTGAAAATTAAAAGAAAAAGAAAAGATTTAATTAGTTTAAGAAACATATTAATAATTTAAAATAATTAGCTAGCTGGTTTTATATAATAAATATTTATAAATAACTCTATTTAAAATATATTCAATAAAGTAAAACAAAAAACAAAAAAATATTTTTTAGATCATCAATCAATTAACATTTTTATTTCAGTATACTAAAAATGCAGCTCTAATTGATTTCAAGAGATAGCAATTATTTTTAAATTTAATAACAAAAAATTTATCCAAACTACTCAAGTTTTTAGAATTTAACATAGCCACAATAAGTAGACTTAGAAAGCAGCAATATTGAATTAGAGGAAAACAACAATTAAAATATGGAATATCAAAATAATATATTTAGTGGAAGCAATTAAATGAATGAATAAAATTAACCTTTCAATGCTCATAATAATCAATAAACCATGAAAATTATGTTTAATGGAAATTAAAATAATGACAATTTTAGATTTAATAATTATAATTAGATTAAAAATAACATATTTGAACCAGCATCTCATTATAATACAAGCAATAATCAAATGGAAGTTATCGAAAATGTTAATAGCAGTTAATAAGAAGTTTAAGAATAAAATGAAGATCTATAACAGCAAAATGAGGAAAGAGAAATGCTTAGAAAATGCATCAGTGATGTAAAAAAATAAATAAATAAATAATTTTGTTCAGATTATTAATTAATTATTCATAAATATTAAAAAAATAAATAGATGATGTCTAAAAAGTAAGAAAATTGCAGATCTAAAAAAAGATATAACATTTTAAACTTGCACCGTAAAAGAATTATAGGTATATTTATTATCTTAAAATAGTTAAATTTACTATTTATTTTTATAACATAGAGGATACTTTAGATTTGATTTATTATGATCCACAATATTTCACCACAGAGGAATTTGAATACCGCGTTTGTATGAATATAGAAAAATTAGTTTAAGAATAAGAGGAATAAGATTAAATGAAATATTATTATGACTAAGAGTTGTAAAAAGCAGAAGATGAATATTATAGAAAGTAAATTGAACAGTTCAAATAAAATTAAGATTAAGAAATGGAAGAAGATGAAGATGATGATAATGATAGTGGTGATTTAGACATTATATAATTGAATAATATTAAATTTAATCAAAATAATACTTAGACATAAAATCAAAATAACTTTTGAACAAAATCTTAATAACAAATATAGAGTTAAAATAAATATCAATTGAAAAAAAATGTGTAAATAAACAAAAAAATCCTATTTTCTATTCAATATTAAAAATAGATAGAAATTAAAATAAATTTTCAAACAAACAAACAAACTCGCTCTCATTTGCTAAGTAAAAGCAAATATCAAATATAATACTATATACATATATACTCATAATTAATAAAAAAAAATGTAGGAAATTGTTATTTTTGTATAATAATATAATATAAATTCGATTATTTATTTATTATTCATTTATAATTAAGTGAAATTATATCAAATATATATATTTGCTTGTATTTTAATCAAATAATTATATACATAATTACATACCACTTTAGAAAAATTACATTTAATTATTTATAGCTTTCAAGGAAATAAATTCTATACAAAAAAATAAAAATACTATTTAAAATTTGAAATAATTTTAATAATATTTAATTTATATTGTGAATATGTAATAAAAAAATTGCAAAACAAACTTCAAAAATTATAAAAATTAATTACAAAATAAATATAAATCAAAATTTACATTTTTTCAATTTTATAAAAGTAAAGCCAATAAAATAAATGAATGTTTAAAAAGTATTTAAGAAATATAATAATTAATGTAAATATATATATAGTTTATCACAAAAAATGATTCAAAAAACAATTTATTTGATTATTTATGAGTTTTATTAGAATATTTTTTGAAATTTCTAAAGTGCTAGCTAGTTACCTCAAATTAATTCAAATAAATAATAATTATAAAAAGTATGCTTAATTTATTTTTTAACCCTAAGAGTAGAAAACAAAAATTACAAGGTATTCATTATAATTGAATAAAGAATAAATTTAAATGATTTTTAGCTTTCTTAATTAATTATGGTAAAAAGATTTAAACAATTGTTTTGTAGATACTCTTAATAATGTGTTTAATATAGACTTATATGAAGCTTAATAACTAATAATTGTGTAAAATAAGTGAAAAAAACCTAAATTATTATTATTATTTCAAGAAAAAAAATAGATTTAAGATTCAAATAAAATTATTAATTTTAAATAAAAAATCGACTATTAAACTAACACTTCTATTTTATGCATATTTTAAAATTTAATTTTATCTAATCATGTTAATAGAAATTATAACAATTTATTTTTCTATGAAAAAGCTATCTAAGCTTATTGAAATTGAAAATACTTTGCTACTGCAGTTACAATAATAATAAAAAATTTACTTGAAAAAACAGGTCAAATATGTTATTAAAAATATGAATTGAAAATACTTTGATAAAAATATCATAAATATGAGTATTAATTTTATTATTTGTAATTGTATCTCAACTCAATATAATAATAATAAATAATTTTTAATTATTTTATTAAAAGTATACAAACTTCGATTTTAATATTTAACTGTAATAAATTTTTTTATATAATAAAGAATATTTATTGTTATTACTTTCCATTATTTATAATTTGCATATTAGTTCACTGTAAAGCCTTATTTTTAAATAACCTACTTTAGCCATAAAATTAAAAAAATGAACTTTAATATAATAGATTAATTTTTTTAAAAAAAACTATTGATTGGATATCTGATCTGATTATCTATGGATATATCCAATCCAAATATAATCCATGACATTCTCTAATTAAGATTAATAGATTAAGGTGCTATATTTAAAAAATACTAACATATTTATTTATTTATGACCATACTATACTTTTTGGATCATTACATGCAATATAAATCAATTAAACAATATGTATTTTTATCTTTATATGATTATGTAAGATAAAAGTTTTAATCAATGTTTTTAATTAAATTTTTGAATATTATCTATCTATCACAACTATAAATTTAGCAACCTTTGTATTATTAACTAATGTGTTTATTTACAAATTTTTTTTATTATAAAAAACTATTTGGTATAATTTTAAGATGAAAGTGAAGAAAGAGTTTTAATAGATTTTTTTTGACTAATAAATTGAATATATAAACAAATAAAGATATTTTTTACATTTTTGTATAAATAAGCTTTAAAGAAGAAGTTATTTGGATAAATTTATAATATAAATTAAGTATATATATTAGATTATTCTATTTATTAATTAGGTTAATCATGTTTTAAATTATATTTTTATTAGTTAATTAATGTTGTGATTTATATATACAATTTAAGTTAATCAATCAACTTTGTTTGTGAATAAATTGTCCAGGTCATACATACAATTAATTATCCTATGCATCAGTAAATTAATTAGTCTTTGTTTCTGTGATACGTTTCAAAATTATTCAAGAGAAATCGATCTAATAAATTTAAATCTAGTGAAAAAGCAATAAAGCAGTCAGTCAATCATTTGTGATAAAGCCCATTTTTAACAAGGAAAAATTTAGAAAGACTTCCTCTCAACGGAGAAGAATATTTAACATATGATTAAATAGTAGGATTAGTTATATTGTAAAGAGCAAATGATTAAGAAGTTTTAAGATTAGATTGTAGTTATTATTACTGCTTTGTAGAGAGTTAGGCTAGAGCTTTCTATCTTTATTGCAAAACTTTTGTGTTTTATAATATTTTTTTGTAATATAATGTATTATTTGCTGATTGGATATTAACTTATTATAAATTGCTATTACTACTATTAGTACCATTTTATGTATAGCTGTTAACATTGATATTACTATTATTATTATTGTTATTGTTGATATTACTGTTACTGCTAATACTCTAGTGTTTTTGATGAATTATATTTTATATCTTAATTCCAGTTTAGTTTAGAGATTATTAGTTTTATTCGAAGCCGCCTGAGGCTGATGATGTACGGATTCTAATAATTTTAGATTGAATTCTAACTTTAGAGTTACTTCTTTCTTATTACACTGAAGAGTGTAATGATGGGGATTAAGAACGTAAAATTGGTGGAAATTTATTAAGGCTAATTTATTTTTGAAAGAATCCATTATTAGGAGGTGATGTAGAATTGAGCTCAGGAGCAGGCTAATGCTATAATTTTATTTAAGAAAGATTTTATACTGATAGATCGGTAGCACTGCTAGTCAATTAAATATATGATGATTTTTTACTTAGAGATCTTCTTACATTTTAATGAATGATAGGAGAAGATACATAATTATTTTGTTATTTTTTAGATTCTTTATCTGAAGTTTACGATTATTAAACTGCTAATGGAGAAGCGTTAGAATTGGAGGTAGTTGCTGTCAATGCAGTATTAATAGTTGCAGAAGAATGGCTTGAATTTTGTTTTTCAAATTAGCTTTGAGAGCGATGAGCCTTTTCTTAAGCAGGCTCTTCCTTTATTATAGATTACTCTTTTTCTATTTATAAATCTAAACAATCAATTTACTGAAGAGTAGAGTCATCATGATCCCATCCTACTATATTGGAACTTTTCCTCTTTTCAGGGGAGAAAGGTTAATTGCAAACAATATTTTGAGAATAGAAGTTTTGGTAGTACATATTATTTGTCATAATAGAATTATTACTAGCTTAATAATTATTATTATAGTTCGTGTTTTACCTAGTTATATTGCTAGTAGAATTGATATTAGTTAAATACTGATCTAATTTATCTTCGCTCATATTTCTAAGGTTATTTAAGGCTTAGCTCTCAATTTTCATCGAGTCATAATTCATTAAATCGTTAAAAGAACTAAGATTACCTCTCACTTTTGGAATTTATATTTTTTAAGGCTTCTCATAGATTTGCTGCTATTACTAAAACGAATTGAATCTACTTTCTGTATTCATACTCATGTATGCTTATACTACTAATTTATAGCACTGAAGCTGATTTTGGAATGGTTTGATGAAGTAAGGATTATTATGACCTTGTTTGTTTATGGTCTTTAATTATTTGTGCTAGATAAATAAAATTGTGTGTTTGTTTGTAACTTTATAGTTTGGTTAGTTAGTAATTTAATGCTTTGTAGATTGTATATTTGATTATAAAATTTCTGCACCAAAGGATTTAATTTCCACAAATCTTTTGTTTGATCAAATCTCAAACAAATACATTAGAATGAATATAACATACATATATACATAGATACTAATAGATTAAAAAAATTTACTTGAATTTGCTTTGTTTTTATTTGTATAAATTGTTTGTAATTAGCTTTAAAATTAATTATTTATTTATAATTTCATAAGCAAATAAATTATTCATTCATTCATTAATCTTAGTATGCTAAATTTAGTGAAAATAACTCTGCATTACTTTTTTTTAAACTAAATTTCTGATTACTTCAAAGCATAATTTATTGTCATTTATATTACATTAACAAAAAATGCTTTCATTCGTTCTTAACTCCATTCATCTATTAATAAATTTGAATACTCACCTCGATATTATGTATGCAATCTATTAAGCCTCTCTCTAAAATTTAGTGAACAAAATTAATATAATAATAATCATCTCAATTTATTAGCTTATTATAACCATATATTACTCTAATGATTTTAAATCTCTAGAACTAAATTAAATTAATCAAAATACTCTATTAATAAATTAATTAATTATTTCTTTTTCATCATAAAATAGCAAATACCCATTTTTCTTAATCCGATCAATTTTATAATGATAAATATTTTTTATTTAATAACTCTTATTCAATTTTCATTATGTTTATAGTAAATTGAAAAGATCTTCTGTGTACTTACTATATATGATTAATCATTTCAAATAAATAATAATTTTATTTTTATTTAATTTAAAACAAATATAAATTGAATTAATGTTAGCAAGAGAAAAAAATATTTTTTAATAAATATGCTCATTTATTTTAGAATATATATTTCATAAATCCTCATTCATTCATTCATTAATACTGAAATTTAGAAAATTATCAAAAAAAATTTTAATTTTAAATTAAAAAGATATTTTTTTATTTAACCATTTATAAATTAATGATAAATTAAGGATGTTTTTACTATTTCTAATTTACAAAATAATTATAAAGTATGTAATGTACTTATTTATTTATTGCTAATTGATTAAATTTTTAATAAAAATAAATTAGCTTGGAATTTAGGATAAAAATAAAATATTAATAAAAAAGAATGCTTGAAAATAAATAAACTTATAAAAGTATTAAAAAAGTAAAATAGTTTATTGAAATTTTGTTAATATAATATCATTTTAGTTTATTTAATCAGACTCTCTTTAGCGTATTAATGTAGAGCTTGATTATAAGTAAAATTATACAATTACAATTTATTCAAAATATTATTAAAATTACTATCTAAGTAAGTAAATTGATTAATAAAAGGCAAAGCAACAAACAAACAAACAAACAAATTATACAAAATTTTAATAAATGATTACAAAAAAAAAACTCCTATTTAAATTATATGCTTTATACTATCTTTTGAAATAATTTTATTAGAGGTATTAGAATTGGTTAATCTGAAATTTATAGCTTAGGATAAGAGTTCTAGAAATCACAGAATCTGAAAAGACTCTTCCTTATACTTAAGTAGAAAATTTGAATAAAATAATACTAATTAGTAACATATATTTAATCGAAAAGCAATAATTTTTTAGATGGATAAGGAGGTTATTTTATAGGAGTTAGTTTAGCTAAATGTTTAAATGTGTCTGATTTAGTGATAGATTTAAGGTAAAAAGATAATCTCTATAAAATAAATTCTTATTTTTGAATATAATATAATTTATTTAATTGAGATTCAAACTAAAATATCCTAATTAAACTTAAATGATTAAAAGCTTAAATAAAATAGGGGAAAAAGGAGCAAAAGGCTTAGCCTAAGGAATAGGAAAAATGATATAACTACAAAATTTGGCACTTAATCTAAAGTAAATACTTATAAGTTAGCAAAATTAAAATTATTTTTAAAAGAGAAAACAATATAGAAGCTAAAGGTGTTTCAGATTTAACTGAAGAAATCGGACATTGTCAAAATCTAGTTTCATTTAATTTAAATTTAAAGTATTATTATTTTTTTTTTATTTACTTTATACTCATTCACTCTATCTATAATTAAGTTTAAATAAAATTGGAAATGACGAAACCTTAGAATTTGGCATAGGGTTAGGAAAATGCAGTAGCCTTTCTTCCCTATCAGTTGATTTTTCGTAATATTTATTCAAAATCATGGCAACCAATAAATTAATTTCTTACTTTAATGAAAACATTAAAGGGAAAACGGAATAAAAAAAATAGGTTTGATTTAGATATCAAAAGGGATAAGATGTTGTTCTAAATTGACAAGTTTATTTCTGGACTTTTAGTAAATAAATAAATAAAATTATTTTTTATATTTTTCAAAAAAATTAAAAGATACAAATTATATTAAATTCCAAATTCATTCAACTAATAAAGCTTGTATTAAATAAATAAAAAATTGCTATTATAAAAAGAAACAATTATATCAATGGATATTAGGCTACTTATGATTTCCTTAATTAATTAAGTAATAATGAAAATCTTACTGATTTAACTCTTGCTTTTTAGTAAATTTTTTTTTTTAAATTCAACTCTATTATTTATTTATTTATTAGATTTTTTTTGTTTTTCTTATTTGAAAATAATTTAATAGATTTAACAAACAGTTTTTATTTTTTATTTTAATTCAAGCTTTTCAACATTAGATTGTAGTGCAGCTTTAGGGTTAGGTGAAGCACTAATTAAATTTAAAAACCTCACAAGATTGATGCTAAACTTAGAGTAAATCAAATAAAAATTATAATTTACCTTCTATTCTCATATTAATTAAGGCTATAATAAAAATTAATTACTTATAAAATTTATCACCTTAGAAAAAATTATTTTTGGAATTTATCAAGTTAATATAGAGAGTAGATAGATAGATAGATGGTAGATAAAAAAAAATTAAATAAAAAAATTTTGTTTAATTAGTTAAGTATTAAGCAAAATCATTTAAGTTTAATATTTCTTTAAAAAATTAATACCAAACTTTAAATTCATCATAATTTTATAGGATTATGGTGATAAATGTAAAAACTAAATTATAACATTTTATATAATATTTGAAAGTTATAACTAGATTAATGATTACGGGATTCAATAATTAGGAAAAGGTATTAAAAATTGCCAAAACCTAAAAAAACTGCTCTTAAATCTTAGGTAAATAATTTTTTATTAAAGTTTGATTTATTTAAAAACTATTTATTTTTAATTATTATAAAATAAATAAATATATTTCTAATACTTCAAATAAGTTAAGTAGCTATTTTAATTGCTGTTGAATTCAGTTTTTTAAACTTTAAATAACTTATAGATAAAATAAATTTGGATATCAGGGAGCTTCTGACTTAGGAGCTGAATTATCAAATTCTAAATCACTTATTGATTTTTAATTGCAAATTAAGTAAAATTTAAAATAATTTTCTTTAAAATTTATAAATTAAAATTATAGTTTGTTTAATTAGTTAATTAAAATATTCTATAAACAATTTTTAAAGTTCAAATAATATTGGTTTAATCGGAGCCTAAGACATTTTGAAAGGAATTACAAAAATATAATGTTTAAAGCATTTAAAGCTTGATTTATCGTAAAATAATTAATTTTTAATTAATTAAAAAATTTATATAAATCTCAATTATATTTTTAGCTCTTGTAGTATTATTAGTAATCCAGGCTGTGATTTAGGAAGCTAATTGACATCGTTTTAAAATTTATTAGGGTTAAATTTGAGTTTAAAGTAAGCAATTATTTATTTTTAGCTATTTTTATCAAATTGCAATAATTAATTTTTTGTAAAGCGTCTTAAATAAAAATTTAATCTTCTCTTTATGAGAATAATTATGTTAATTTATTAATAGGAAAAATACTTTTATGATGAATGAAAAGTTAAATTATCTTAGAAAAACATAAAAATTGCATAGATTAGTTTATCTTAATTTTAAAATTTGATAAAAAGTTGATATGGTACTGAATGTTTGTTATTTTACTTGTTAAACTTAATGTTTATGCAATTTATATTGAGTAGCTAGCATTCTACTCCCAGTAACTCATAAATATATTTGTTTACTGAATAATTTTAATTAAGAAATAAATTCATATATTTATTTAATAATTTTGGATTAGTAAAATTTTGTTATTCTTTTTTTTAAATAAATTTTTTTTAAATGAAGAAAAAAATTTTAAAAAATTTAATTGAGGCGCAAACCAAAATTAAGCTAGAATCTTATGAATTATTCTAAAAGAGTTAATAAAACTCAGGATAGAATTTGAAAGGATAAATCATTTTTTAAAGGAATCATTAAATTATAATATTGTAAATTTAATTTGGCAAATAAAAAATAATTTAAATTAAAATAAATTATTAAAAAGATTGAAAATAAATAAACTTTAATATAAGATAATAAATAATAAAAAGCAAAATAAATAATGAATGTTTCAGTAATTTTATTTATTTATTTATTTATTTTTAAGTTATCATTATTATTTTGTAATTTATTTCTTTATGTGGTTCTTGTTAGTTAATAATAAACTTCTTACTGAGAGATTATTAATATTTTAGAATTTATTATTATTTTCATTTACCTAAGATAGTTTTTATCTGCTTCCTTGATATTATTTTTTTTCTATTTGCTCTTAAACTTTCTCTTTTATGTGAGGCTTGGTAATTAATGAGCTGTTTATCTGCTTATTTAATAATTTTTCATTCTATTTTTTAGATTACAAATATTTTTATTTATGGCTTTTACTATTCAATAGCTTAGAGGGATCCTACTATTTAATTATTTTTTGGTGCTTATTTGGGCTATTTTTAGATTTTTGTTTAAATTTTCTTTATTTTTTGATACTTTTGTCATTATTTATGTTATTTGCATCACAGCTTGATTTACTTGCAGATAATTTTGATTTATTTAATTCTTACTCGTCTTCGCTTAATTGACTAACACTGGATATTGTATCTTAGTTTTTGCTAGATTCTAAGTTAGAATTTGATTGTATTTTACTATAAGAATCAAATATTTAAGATTCAAATTTTAGCTATTTTTCATATGAATTTAGGCAGTCTAGGATGGTATTCTTTTTATCATTGCTTTGGTAATTTTAAACAAAATTTTTTTGCTTTTCTAAAGTTTACATGATAAAGCTATCTTAATTATAATCTTTTTTTGAGCTTATCCTAGAATCTTTCAAAGAGCTCTAAAGTGTAGCGATATCAGCCTATGATGATAAGTCTTTGTTCATAGAATATTTTTCCTATACAGATAATTTATTAAGACTTTATTTATAAGAATCAAGGTAGTAATCTGTATTGTGATTAATTCCATATTCAAATTAATTTTCATAGTTAGATTAATTAGCATTAGAATCAATATTTTTATAGTAATTTCTGTGCTATAAGAAGTTATCTCTATTAGTATTTGAAGGCGTCTCATCAAAATTTAAAGCTTTATTAACGTTTGCTTCATATATATAATCATTTGTTGATTTAGCTACTTTCAATTAATTATATTTTTATTTATATTTTTATCTATCTTATTCACTAACTTAAAGTTTTTATTCAAGTTTTTATATATCAATATCTTTATCCTTAATTATTTACTCTTTTTTGCTACACTCAGCTTTAATGTAATCTATTTCGTTTCTACTCTTTTCCATTTCCTTATTCATATCCTTTTCTTATTAAGAAATCTTTTCCTTTAACTTTTAATATTTCTCTTTCTTCTTTTTATACTTTTTCTCGCTTTTTTCAAGACTGTTTTTGTCTTTATCATGTTCTTTTGTTAGTTCATTTAGTTCATTAATTAGATTTAAATTTTCATTGTGAAGTCTTATATTCTCCAAGTAAATTTTAGAATTTTCTTATTCAATTACCTCGTTCTTACTTTTTTCAATATTTAGCTCTTTTTCTTTTTTTTCAAGTTTCTCTTTTAATTCTTAATTAATTAATTTTTCTTAGTTTAAAGTTGTTTTTAACTTGTCTAATTCAGTTTTAAGATTATGCATAATTTACTTTTGTTCTTCTTATTATTATTCAAAATTATTCTCAAAATTACTTTAAGCTTCAATAAGTTATTTGTTGAGATCGTTTATTATCTTTCCATTTTGTTGGTTTTCTTGTTATAAATTTAAAATAAGCTTTTCCTGTTATGTAATCTTTGTTTGATATTAATTAAGATTTAAATTATAATTGTTATTTTCTTGATCAGAATTATTTTGAAGAGATTAATTATTCTAAATTAGTTATTAATCAACAATACTAGGAATATTTTAACTTTCAATGTGCGCCTATTCTTAAAATTGTAATTTTTCAGCATTTTAAAGATTGAGTTTTTGAATTTCGTATTGGTCAGAACCTACATTGTGGATAATCACAAATTCAGAAAAGCGGTTTTCTTGCAAGATTTCAAGCTAAGAATTAGAACTATTGTTATACCTAATGATCCTTATGATATTGCTTTCTACCTAAACCTCTGTCCACTTTAAGTTTTTTATCTTACATTCTTACCAGCTTGATGCTTCTTAAAGCTATGTTATTTTTTTCTTCGTCTCTTCCTTTTTTATTGATAGAATATATGCTTAATTTTTTTGAGGAAATTGCATCCATTTCTTGTAGACTTGCTCTTATTATTTTTAAGTGTAGATCTGCAGGAAACTAAAATATATTGAATACAAATCTTCCTTTTAGCTCTCTAATTATATAAAGAACGTCTTGTGTAATTGCCTCTAGTTTTCTTAATTATTTTTATTGACAACCTCCTTTCTGCTCATTTATTTTTAAGTACAGCTTATGAGACCTTAAGAGTGTTCAAAAATATATGATTTTAGTTGAATTTCTTATTTTCAAATATTAATTTAATATTTCAAGCTATTGAACACTAATTTATAGTGTTAAGATACTTGTATCTTTTCAATCAAAATTTTATCAAGAAAATCTCCTATTTATGAAAATTTCTAACAAGTATTCGTTTATTTCCCTTTTCTCATCAATTTAGAAAAAAAATTTGATCAATATAATTGAAATTAGAAGATCTTTTAACTGACAAAAAATTTAAATTTCAAAAGGCAGAGCGCTAAACCAAAAATTATTCGTTTTAAGAAAAATATAATTTTAAAAAGAGAAAAAACACATTTTTTAATAAAAATATTTTTTATATTTTAAGGTATTAATTTTTGAATTAATGTTTGTTTTAACTTCTAAATATTTTTTATTGAAAAATATTTTTTTAAAACAAGATTTTAAATGGGAATAATTTAAAAATGATTAAAAATTATAAATTATATTTTTTAGTAAAAAAAGCAATATAATTTTTTGATAAAATAAAATAATTATTTTATAGCTAATAAATATTTTTTTACTAAAAAATGAAACAAGCTTATGCTTTCTTTTTGTAATATTAATTTTAATTAAAATCTGGTTTGATTTAAAAATGTAACTTTAATTTTTACAATTATTTTTATTATTCTAAATTCCTTAATATTCTTTTAAATTTTTAGCACATTCATTAACTACTTCCAAGCAAAACGATAATTTTCTTATTTTAATTTTTTAGTAATTTAATTTAAAATTAATTTATATAAAACTCAAATATTAACATTTTTTTGTTTTAAATTTATCGATCAAATTTATTTAAATAATATTAAAAATATTATATTTATTGTATTAAAATATAAAATATCTAAAAAAAAATATTCTATTTTAGAATTAATTTCATAAATATTTTATTAAGTTTTAAGGGCTAAAAAATTTTATTTTTTAAAACTTTAAATGAAGGAATTTATCGATATTCATTTTAGTTGTGAGTAATGATTGTTTTTTGATTATTAATACGCTTTTAAATTTTAGATAGAAGTCTTAAATTTTTGATATTTTTTATGATTTAGATAAATTATCTAAATAATTAAGTTGACATAATAGCCTTACTGCAATTCTTTTTATAAGGTTTTAAATATATATAAAACAAATTAAATGAGTTTTTAAGTGAATTCAAGAAATTTATCAACCTAAATAAAGAAATCTGAAATAATTCCATAAAGTTCTACTGGGAATGCTATTACTCAGAAGTTTGCTTAGATGTTGGAAGACTAGGCTTTTTTGAATAAAGTGCTAGACTTGATTAATAGTCTATTTTCATTTATTGTGATATTTTAATATATTTATTCTACCTACTCAACTTCTATCTGGTCAGTAGATACTTGGCCTATAACAAGTACACTTTTCCATGCTTATTTCTTTTTTGAATGGATATGCCGTATTCTCACTTCTAAAGATATAAATAAATATATAAAGTCTTGGGAGAGTGTAGCTGATTTAATATCAATCATTCCATACTTTGTTTATAAATTTGTAACAAATTCTTTTATATATGAAGACTACAGCGACCCTTATTTATTATTGATTAATTTACTTTCACTTACAAGGATAATGAGACTATAAAGGTAAAATTTAAATGATTTTTTCTTTATATTTTATCAATTATTTAAATTTGTTAGCCATTTTAAATATAATGATTTCTCAAGTAAATAATTTAAAAATATATATTGAATAGATTGCTAATTTATATAGATAATGATACTTTAAAAGAGCTATTTTAAATTATTCTTGCTGCTCTTAGTTTGGTCATTCTAGCTTCAGGAATACTCCAATTTACTTAGAGAAACTCAGTAGGGAACATAGGTTCAGGAAAAAATTCAAACTAAGACATTGATCTCAATACATTACCTTTCCATTATTATATTTATTTTGTCATGATAACAATATCCACTCTTGGATATGATAATCCATTTAATAATAGTGTTATCAGAATTTTAATTATCTTTTTACTCATCTTCTCATTCATCTTTGTCCCTTAATATAGTTCTAAATTAATTAATCTCTTAAGCAAAAAGAGCTTTTTTGCAAGAAGAAGTTATAAGGTATTGTTTTCTATTCTTTAAATTGTTTAGAAATTATAGTAAATTGTTTTGAAGTAAGAAAATGTTAATTTTGCCTTAATTATTTAGAATACTTAATGATAAATTTGTTTGTTGCAATAATAAATAAATTTTTAAATTATTATTTTACATTTAATTTGAATTTTAGAATTAAAAATATTTCTAATTTTAGTATTTCAATAATATTTATTTTTTTCATAAAAAAATAGGTAGTTGAATCAGTTTCACATGTTGTTGTTACAGGAGTTGTTTCCTCAACAGCAGCAGAAAATTTTTTTTAAGAGCTGTTTCATTAAGATCATGGCGATTAAGCAAAACATGCTTTGCTTCTTTTACCACACGCTCCAGATGGGTAGCTAGAAAATCTATTAAGTAATCCTAATTTATTCTACATGGAAGGCTAACCTTCAAATGATAATGATTTAAAGAGATGCTAACTTGAAAAGGCTAAATCTGTGATTATTTTATGCAATAAATAAAGTTCTGATCCTCATTGGGAGGATTCGTAAACAATTCTTAGAGCTATGGACATGAAGAAGTACTTAAAATCTAACATAAGATTCTGTACATAACTTTTAAGGCAAGAAGGAAAAACACATTACTACCTGTCGCTATAAGAAACATAGTCAGAATAAATAGATTAAGTAATATGAAAAGAAATTTAAATTATTTACATTATAATTTATTTTTAATGAATAATTGTTAATAGGTTATTTGTATTGAAGAACTTAAAATGAGCTTATTGGCTAAAAGTTGTCTGTGTCCTGGATTAATTGCATTAGTAAATAATTTAATAACTTCTTCTGGCAGCCCAACTGATAATTTGGAATACAAATGGCTCGAAGATTATTGGAAAGGCTAAGGATTTGAAATATATAAGGTCCTTCTAAGTCATAAATATTAAGGGAGAACTTTTTCATAAGCAGCTTTAAGCATTTATAAAAACTATAAAGCAATTTTATTTGGATTAGAATTGATTTCTACAGAAAGCAGTAGACTTTTTTTAAATCCTGGTTCAATGTATATACCTTCAACTTATGAGGTTATTGGGTATTATTTAATTTCTAGCTTTACTTGAAGAATAATTAAATAAATTATAAGATATATTATAGCAGAAGATAAAGAGACTGCAGATAATATCAGCTAAAGCAAAGGATAAAATGAAGAAAACGAATTTTAAGATGAGGCTATGAATGTAAGAGAAGACATTATAGATTTCACTAGAAAATTTTATCAAAAAAATTCCTCTCTAAACTCTTAAAACACACCTCCTAAAGATACTGAAATGAAACTATTTACAGGTGAGTTTAATTTTGTATTCAAAAGTCTTTTTAATTCATTTTAAAAGCAAATAAAAATAGTTTAATTCATTTATAAAACTTCCCTTTGCAAACATCAAAAGGGAACAAACATAAAATTCTAAACAAATGAAAATTTATTATTTTAAATTTTACAAATAAATTATTTAAAATATTATTTAGCTTAAATTTGATTTTTGCCTTAATTTCTATTTGATAAAATAAAATTTTAATTAAGATATTAATTATTTCATTTTAATATTTAGATGATGACTATTACAACAATGACTATGATAGTAGCTAAATTTAAGATGAACAAAGAGAGGAACATTTAAAAAATGCAATTATTACTGGTGATTGGAATAAAATTTATGAAAAATGTTATACTTCTAAAGATAAAATTCATCTTAAAGGTATTTTTATTTTATTTAAAAAAATTAATTATTGACTAAATATATATTTTAATAGATGTTTCATTTGAATCCCTCGAAAATAATATTTTAGCTCAGAACCATATCATTCTTTGTGGTGCTGTTGATAATTTTATTAATTTTATAATGCCTCTAAGAGCAAAACATTTAGATAACTACCCTGCTATTATTCTTTTAAATGATAAGGAGCCTACTGAAAAGGCTTGGAATCTAGTTTCGCTGTTCCCAAATATTTATTTTGTAAAAGGATCAGCACTAAATTAAAGGGATTTAATAAGAGCTAATATTTAAAAAGCACAAACTGTTGTTATCTTAGCTAGTGAGTTTGAGTAAAGTTTTTAAGATTCCAACAAAGAATATGAGAATGAGGCAAAAAAGAGCATGGAATTGACAAAAGAATAAGAAGATCTTTTAGACGCTAAAACTATTTTTAAATACAAAGCTGTTTAGAAATTGAAACCAGATATACAAATCGTTACAGAATTTGTCAATCCTGCAAATATAGCATTTCTTTCAAGCGATCCATCTGATTACTCGCTTTTAAAAAAGTTTGGATACAATCATGTAAATAAATAAATAAATGATTTCTTTTTTTATAGATTTTAAAATTTATTTTTGATAGACTCCTCTATTTGCATCAGGAGAGATTTACATTTCATCAATGATGGATAGTTTAAGTGCACAAGCCTTTTATAATCCTGCCCTAATAAAAGTTCTCAACCTGATTCTACTAGGAGATCATTCTCATTAGTAATTTTGGAAAAAGAAAAAATTTGATAAGTCATTTAACCACTAAAACAGTAACCTTTTCCACATAAAAATACCTAAGGCATTCCAGGTAACATACATTTAGTATAATATTTTTTATTCTCTAAACATTTACATAGGGAAAAACATTTGAGAAATTGTTTTGCTTCCTTGCAGCAAGATAAGACATAATTGTGATTGCTCTTTATCGACTATCTCTTTGTAAAGATAACAAATTGCCATATGTCTGGACTAATCCTGATCCAGAAACAATTCTCACAGATAGAGATATATGTTTTATTTTTTCTTAGACACCTCCATAAGATTGTAAATTATTTTTATTTTTTAAAAATATTTTGATTTTTAATCATTCAATTAATTATTATATAGATATGGAATGGGGAGGTCCTTTAGAAAAGAATATTTAATAAAAAAGAAAGAAAAAACTAAAAAAGCATACAAGTGATTCGACTTAATCTGAAAACGAAGAAGTCCCTATTAATTATGACGAAATTGAAAGAACAAATGCTAATACAAGGCAGTATATTAAAGATAGTGAGTTAGTGAGTTAGAAAATAAATTAAATAGCAGAGAAAATTGCTTAAGTCAAAGAAAATTGTAAAGATTTAGAATTAATGATATAAAATAGGCAGGATTAAATAATAGATCAGCTAAAGAATGTCATATAAGATGAGTTAAATAATATCGTCAAACAAAAATAATAATAAAATATAATTCAATAGCAATAATAACAATAACTTGCTTAGATGTAATAATAATCATAAGAAGAAAACAACAATCAGTTATCAGATTAATCCTCATTACAACCTAATGATGATTATGACTAAGATAATTATGATGATAAAAAGGTTCGTTTACTTAGAAATTGAACAATCAAAATATTTATTTTTTTTACATATCTATGCTAATTATAAATAAAATTACTTAAATTATTTAAGATATTATTAAATTTATTAAATTGTTTTATTTTTTCAAACTCTTATAAAAATTTGGAATAAAATAATTATTTTAAGAATTTAATTAAAAATTTACTACCTGAACAGTGAATAAAATTTAAAGAAAGAGATCTTCTAATAATTATAATAAGAGAAGTAAATTATATTTAATTCATTAACATTTAGCTTTTCAATATTTATTGATAACTTTTATCATTTAGTATAAAAAATATATATCAGTGAATAAATATTTGATTTATAAATAATCTTTAACTTATTAAGCTTTGATATGTGTTTCTTACTAATCAGTTTATTGATAGTACTTTTTCAAAATATTTCAAGAATAGAATAAATTATTTTTTTCAAAGAAATGTAACAAAATTATTGACAGACATACAAATATGTATTAAATAACAAGACAAAAGAAATTTAAGTTAATAACAACATTAATATATTTATTATGTATGTGTCAATCAATATTTGGAATAAATGTAAAATAGTAATAATTTTAATATATATATTGAATCTATTTTTTAATAAAATCATGCAGTTTTAAAAATATAAATTTTAGTATCATTCATGGACATTTCTTTTCAACGATATATTCTCCATTATCTTGATATTCTTATTTTCCTATCCAGAGAGATTAGAATGAACCCAAGGAAGCAAGAATAGAGCCACCAATCCAAGATGAGAATTTTCTTTCAGTGGTAGCAGGATATGCTATCATTTTTATTTTGGAGTTAGGAGGAGATATTTCATTGAGTTTAGTCTATAATCTAGAACTAAATCCAGAAAGCAATGAATTACCACCAGTTAATATAATATTATTAAAAAGTTATCTCTTTATATCAATATCACAATAATTGATTGATTCAAGAACCATATGATGCATACCTCTAAATCCTAATAAATCTTAACTTATTTCGTTTTCTTATTCTAATTTTTTACAAAATATTATTAGTAACTGAATTAAAATTAATAAAAAGATTTTCTCAATAAATTAAGATTAAGATATTCAATTGAAAGTAAATCTAAACACAATTTAATTCGGAAAGTAAGTTTGCTTTTATTACATTTTTTTTTAAATTGAAATTTTGTAACCTAAAAAATTTTTTAGAATTTCATAATGCTATTTATTTTTTATTTAAAACAAGCATAATATTTTATTTAAATGGTCTAATAGGCAAATATTTTATTACGTTGTTAAAGAGTCTCATAAGGTGCAAAGAAAAATTCAGAATACTTAGATCTGGCAGTATCAAATTCTACAAAATTTCCATCAGGGAGTTCATATCCAGCTCTTTCTAATTACATTTCCCCAAATGTCAACCCTCTATCATCTACTCTACAAATTTATTCTTTGATGTCTCTAGCGATTTCTAATTGGCAAAACTTTTCATATGAAGAATGAGTATCTGGGAATTCTAAGTACTTATCAATTTTTTTAGGGCCCTCTTTGGCAAATTGCAAACAGTATCTAGGATATACACGAGTATTTTATTCCTTTTTATTTATTTATGAATATAAAATTTAAAAAAGATATTCTAAGTAAGAGACATAATTCTATAAAAGCACAAATTTTATTTCAAAAAGATGAAAATAAATAAATGAATAAGCTTGCTACCTTTTACAAGTTGTTCAAAATTTTTTCAGTTAAGAATTCACCACCAATATCAAACTTACGAACACTCTTTTATAGTACATAACCATCATGTACAGGTACTGCATATGTACTGTAAGCACCTTTTAGATATTAAAAAATATAAAATTTTAAAACAAATTTTGTGCATTTATCTATATAGGCGGGAAATATTTGGAGAAAGAATAAATTATTGAAATGATTCTTTAAACTTTGAATGATAACCGCTTTACTAATTTATAATGTATTTATAATGCATTTTCTATGGTTTCCTATCAAATAGTTTCTAAAATCATTTTAATGATGCCAAATTATATTTATTTATTTAGTTAGTTAGTTACCTGTATCCAAAACTAAAGCTGTAGAACGTCCTGAAGAAAAACAAGAAAGGACACCGCTTTTGACAATGAAAAAGTTAGGAACTTTGAGAGATTCAAAAGCTAATTAACAAATTTTTTCTCTCTACCTTTAATTATGTAGGGAAGATTCACTAATTAGTAAACAATATTCTGAAGGTTGAACACGGATTTAATTTTCATAAACATCTAAGAGAAGCTTTTCGAAAGCATCCCAATCCTTAACTTCACCATTCATGTAAGATGAAACAACTTCCATGTTATCTCTCCTGATTTTTAAGTTACTTTCTCCTACATAATAGTTCTTGAATTTATCATCAGACTTATTTTCTTCTATCATCTTATTTTATTCTGCATTAATTATATTACCATCTTCATCCTTTAATAATTAACTCTAATCTGGAACCTTAATCTCCTCTCTCACACCAACTTGAGATGGCATGACGAGTCTGGGAGTATCTTCACCTGAATAACCTGCTCTAATAGATAAACTACCAGGATCAACAACAATTGCTGTAATATCTTCTGTGAACATTTTCTAATTTATTAAGTTGCTTAATACTAATAATAATCCTAATATAAGAAAGTATATTTCTTTCTCTCTTTCTTTCTTTTTTTCAATCAATATCAATATTTATTGATGCCAAATATATTATTTATTAATTAACTTTATTCGCCAAATTGCATTCTTTTTATTAAGTAATTCAATGAAAATAAATATCAATATTTGCTTTCATTTAAAATCATATATCTTTTTTATTTGAATCCAAATACTTGTTAATTATTTCTTTAATTTTTGTAATTATCTTTCATAATTAATTGCATAAAACAAACGCATATAAAAAATAAGGAACTGAGCAACAAACAATAAAGTCTAATTATTTAATAATTCATTTAATTTTTAATGATTAAAACTCTTCAAAATCAATTTTAAATCTAACAAATTAGAAACACTAAGACTTAATAAAAACAACTAATCAATAATTAATTCATTAATAACTAATTTTCCGCCAAGTTTTTTGATAATAATAATTTAAATCCCAATATTAATATTTTAGAAAAATCAAATTAATTTAATAAAATTATTTTTTATTTGGTAATTTTAAATTTATTTAATAAAAATGTTAAATTTATTAATATTATTTTTAAATTATTTGCTGATTGAAATTTTTTTATTTTTTCTACTGATTCTTGATTATTATTTTGTTAAAGATAATAAAAATAAATTAAGTTAATAATTTAGTTAGTTATTATTCAAAAGATTATGACATAGCAAATAACTGTCTGTTGCAGAGAGTTTATTAAATTCATATGCTGCATAACGAATGACTTTTAAAATATGAAGATGGCGATAGAAAAAGATAATTATGAAGAGTTTATAGCATTTTTTGAAAAAAATAAAGTTAATGTTTAAGATTATGAAGAAGATACTGGAAATAATCCTCTTCATCTTACTGTAAAAGCTAACCGTTATGATATGGTTGATTATTTGCTGACGAAATACGAATCATTAGAAAAAGAAGATAAAAATTTTGATGGAGATACAGCATTAATGTTAGCAGTCCTCTATAGTGACTTAAAAATGGTTTATATAATTTATAGTTTAATTTTTAAATTTTTATCATAAAATGCAAAGTATGGATTCAAATTAAATTAATAATATAATAAGTAAAGGTTAGATTATTAGTTGAAAAAGGAAATGTTGATATAAATTGCAAAGAAAGTGAAGGATTTACCCCATTTATGGCAGCTTGTGCAAATGGAAAACTAGAAATAGTGGAGTACCTGATGAATAGAAATTGTAAAATATATTCAAAGAATTAACAAGGATAAACTGCTATTCATAGAGCGGCTTTTTATGGTGAAGTATAGGTTATAAGATCATTGCTTAAAAACACAAAGCTTTAACTGACTTCTAGAGATTCTAGAGGAAATACTTGTCTGCATTTTGCTGCTATGAGGTTAAATATGACTTGCTTTCGTTATATTTTAAAAAAGTAATGATCAATTTAATTTCCATTTAAAATAAAAAATAAATCTACTCAAACAAACTGCAAACAAATAAATAAAATAGACATAATATATTCCTCATTAATTTACAAATAACTTTACTGATTCTTACTTACTTATCTAGTAGTAAGTTATAATTATTTTAAATTATTTATAAACAAAACAGTTATTAAAATGTAAAATTAATTGTTTCAAACCTTTAATTTTAACTCAAATAAAAAAATTTTTATATTAGTTATAAGTAAATGAATTAGGTTTTTTTTATTTAAAATTACAAAATCATTTATTTAAAATTTAAAAAGAAAATTGTTCTTTTTAAATCATTTTTTAAGTATTAAATTTTAAAATTATAAAAAGACTAGGAAGTTAAAAAGATAATGAATTAGCTAAAAAAAATCAGGAAGGTTTAACACCAGTTTAAGTGCTAATAAAATCTTTTAACCTAATTAAAAAAGATGATAGAGTAATAAATGAAGCTGAAGTTGAAGAATATATTTTAAATAAAAATAAACCTCCTCCATATTTATATGAATCATTAAAAGAATAAAAACCGACTCTATTTAATAAGGTAGATTAGTAGAAGGAGTAACTTATTTAAAAATAAGTTAATGGCTAACCTCTAACATCCAAATAAGTTATAAACGATAACAATATAGATTAATAGTAGTATTAAGATTAATAAAATTAATAGCTAAATCTATCTAAAAAAAATATTAATATAAATGACAACTAAATTTAAGAATAAGAATTGTAAAACTTCATCCCATCAGCCTCCCATATTTAAGATAATTAAAAGTTATAAAATGCTAATGAATAGCAGTAATAAAAACCCTAAGCAGATATAGATGCTACAGAAACAAACAACCTTCGACCTATAGCCTTAAAATCTCCAATATAAGGAGATAGCATTAGTGTAAATTTACTTTATTACTATTACTATTAACTCACTTTTATTTAAATATTTAAAAGTTATTTAATTCTGGTATGGTAAATCCTAATTATCCACAAAATGAATTAATTAATGAAACTAATTAGTTAAATCAGGAGATTTAGTAAAAAACTTTATCATAAAGAAGAAAAAATTACTTTTCTAAAATAAGTCTAAAAAACATAAATTAACTTTCAAAGAAAAATGTTTGATCTTATTTCAAGGTTTAAAAACCTTCTAATTTTATTTTTATTTCTAAATAAGTAAGTTAGTAATAAATTCGTTTTATAAATAAATAAATATATCGTATGTTTATTAATATTTTAATAATAATTTGCAATTCAACGAATAAATATACTTTATTTAATTAATTACTAATTTTATTTAATCTTATAAAAATGATATTTATCTTTATTTGATTGTAATTTTATTTAATAAATTAAAAGTTTTAAAATTATAGTTGGATTTGAAATTATAAATATAAAATAGTAATAAAAATGCAATTTATAAAAATAATTTATAATTTTAACTAATTCAAATCTTTAAAAAAAAAAAGTATCTTTTGAAGATTTTACTAGAATTTTAATTGATAGCTAACTATAAAAGTAAATTCAAACTAAGTAGGTTTTCTTATACATCTTATATTAATAAATAATTAACAAAACGAATTAATCTTTTATACTAAACTTCTATTTTTATTTAAACAGTCAGAAAAATTAAGTTGTAATAACATCATCATTTAATATATCATCAAACATCATATGCTTTAGTCTTTTGTAGGTTGAATCTATATCGATTTTAAAGTAATATTTCATTACATCTTTAAAGCTTATTCCTCCTTTATAGAGTTATTAATCCATTAAGTAATTATAATTTTCACTAGCTTCTTTATATTTAATAAAATTCTAAGGGTTTGTTGCTTAAACTCTTTTATATCTACCAAATTCATTTAACAAACTACTAGCACACAAAACACTTATAGTATTAGTGGGATTTAAGACTTTATTATATATAAAAAAAATAAATTGCTATTTAGCATCAAAAATAATAATTTACGCTTTTTGTATCTAAGATAAAATAATATCACTAAAGTACCATGGAGAAGATCTATTTATTGATAATAATAAATTATACAAATTTAGAAGTAATACTCTTAATGAAATTTATACATGGAAAATGAACATAATATTTCAATTATTATGGGTAGGATTCTATAGTTTCTAACTCATTTAAATAAACTTTTTCCATAACAGCTTTAACATCCATCTTTTAAACCAAGTTGAAGATAATTGAGTCTTTAAATTAATTATCAAGCTTAAGATTATTAATTTTTAAGATCAATTCATCACTATCATGCTATTTCACTGTTTGTTTTATCTTTTATAATTCCTCCTCAAATTAATTTTCTCTAGTATCCATTTCTATATTATTTTTATGCTTATTTAATTTCTATCTAAGATAAGTAAAGTAATAAATATTTTTAATTAATTAATCAATAATACATATTTTCTAGAAACTTTTGTATAGATATACATATTAATTAATGGTATAAAAAAGATAATCATATATATTTAGATATTAAATAATTTAAAAAATATATATTGCAAAAATTATTCTATAAAGTATTGATTAATTTTAGTTTAAAATTTAAAAATGTATTTGATTTTGTACTATTGATTCAAATATAAATTTTATAAAGAGGTGTACAGGATTACTAGAATTTGCATTATAATCATTTAAATTAATGTATTAGTCATCTAAATAACATCTATAATATGGAATATGTTATTAAACTTTATATTTTAATAATAATTTTTGTATAATTAAAAGGCATAAAATAAATAATGTATTTTACAAACAAAATAATATTTTTAAAAAAAGCTTAAAAATTTACATAAAATATATAAAACTTCAAATATTTAGTTATTTAGAATTAAGTGCTGATGATTTTGCATAGAAATTATAAATTTTTTAATTTTTTGCTTCTACTTCTTCAGAAATCTGATTTTTATTTGCCTCTATTATAAAGTCATTCTTTAAATTAGTATTATAATCTTCTGTATTATAATTAAAGCTTAGCAATTTGAAATTGCTCTAAGTATGCTTTCTAAATGAGCTTTAGTTATTAGGACTGTGAGGAGATGAAAGTACCCTCTTCTTTGCGGATTTTAAAATTTCTGAATATCCTAAATATTTCAATTAATTTTGATGAATATATTTATATTATAAATAAAAATTACCATTTTCATTAACATCCGTTTATTAACTACCTTAAAGTAAGTTTAACTTTGATGCAGTTATGTTCATGTTATAAGATGCTTTAAATTAAATTATTTTTGATATATTTTATTTAACAAATTTCCACTTGAGGTATGTTTTGAAGGAAATTCTTTGACCAATTATGTAGTTGTAATATTTTTTTGTCAAGCATTTATTTAGTATGCTTCCAAATATTTTACTAAAAAAACTAAAACCTTACCTTATTTTGAAAACTAATATTGTAAAACCGCAAATGAAGAAAAATGTATAGTCAATCAGAATAATTAGTGTTTCAATAAATATCTATAAACCTTAAGAATCACTTATTAATGAACTTAAATATATTTTTATTATCAAAAGCGAATAAGCTTAAGCCTCCCCAGATTAAATTTTTAAGGAAATAAAAGGATTTTTCTTTCTTAGAGCTGCTTTATAAGTTACTATAATAATCATACTTGATATAATAGAAAATGTACTTGTTTATTAAAGTAATGTACATATGTAAATTAAAATTATTTTAAGATAAATCCTTATAAATTCCCAATAAAAGTACTATGTATTTAGTTCTCCATAATAGTATCCATAAAAATATTTTATTTAACATTCATTTAATCTTTATTTCTATTTGATTAATTTTATAAATATAAGCATTGGTAAAAATGTCCAAAATAAAAGCATAATTATCGAGTATGGGTATAAAAATTTAACGGTTTTTTCATCATCACATGGTATTCTTAAATCATAAGGATTTAGAGATTAACTACCTACTTATTAGCAAGTTAAGCCTTTAGAAAAATAAGAAATTTAGCCTATCTAATAAAAAGTCATATATATGTGGAAAAAAGTTGAGTAGTGATATTTTTTTATTATCTTTTTGCGGGTTAAAAAATTTATAGTTTTTAGGATAATTATGATGAAAATAAAAAGAAATAATGGAATTAAAACTTAAGTTAAAGAAAAGAAAACTATTTATCCATATCTTTTTATATTTTCTACGCTTACCATGCATTCAAACCCTAAATTTAGTTATCTGCTTGTTTATCCCAAATACTCATTTAAGATGTTAATATTTACAGGTAAAATTTTAGGCTATGGAATCAATAGAGAAGAAAGTTGGTAATAATTTATTATTATTTTTATATAAAAACCAGAATAGTCATTTATGGAACTTTTAGAAATAGGTAAAAGCTTCATTTTTCTCAAATAGTAACAGGTTTAAGTATATTTAAATTAAGAAATAAATACAAATGTAGTGAATAGGAAATAAACGATCATACCAATAATTTTGAGTATGAAGTATAGCCATTAAATACTTACCTAATAGCATTCTTAGCAATGTCCACTTTTCATAGATTGTTAGTACCTTTTTCCTTTCCAAACTTACCCTATATTATCACATTATTAGCATATTGGTCCTATATAACCTTCTGTGCAATAATTAATAGATGAAGGATTTTCTGACTAGCAAGATCCTATTTAAGGATCACATTCAACTATCTCATCAGTTTAGTTGTTTTACCTCCAATAACCATTTTTCAGTGAAATAAAAGAGCCTTAGCATTCTATAGCCGAATTTGGACAGTTATTGCATTAGTTTTATATTTTAGATTAGGCAATTTGTGATTATTTAAACAAAAAATTTGGATCAACAAGTGAATATTTACCTTCTTAACAAAATCTACAACTCATAATTTTGTTATTTTATTCTTCAATTATTTCGCCTAATTAACACTCTCTAAAAGAAATTGATAAAAGTATAGGCTATTAAATCTAAGAGTTTGCTTATATACTAGACTCTATTGAGAAATATTATAAAGATGATAAAACTCCTTAAATTTCTAATCCAGTAAGCGTAAATGATTAAGAATCACTATCATATTGATTATAATTCAAAATTCTCTCTCCAATAAGTTATGTTTATTTTGTATTTAAGTTATTTATTGTTATTTAAATACTTTTTAATTCATTTGAAATATCTTCTGGATATTAATCGTTTAATAGCTTTTGTAATGAAAAAGATAAGTAACGGTTATAATTATCAACCAAAAATATTTTTAATGAAAGTTAACCACCACTTTGGAATTAATTTATATCAATTTGAGAAAAATAATTTTTTTTATAACTTATAGGTATGTTGCTATTATCTAGATGAAATGTAAATAAGTAATTATTCTAAGAGTCTTAAGGGTTAAAATTTTATATTATTGCTTTTTGAAGATAAGTAGCACAATTATCTCCAAATATATCTGCATAATTTTACTTAATATTGTTTTCAAAAGGAAATCCTGAAGGTAGTATAATTTTGCCAGAGTTAGTCTAAAATATTCGCAATCCGCCTCCAATTAAAGCTTAATTTTATATTACTTTTGTTTATCCTTCAAAATATAGCTAAGTAGAACCTATATTTTCAAAATATAAAGCTCCTCCACTACTCTAAGCTGTATTATTTTAAAATAAACAATCTGTAAAATTGATATATTTTAGTGTATTTATAAAAGAAATAGCTCCTCCATTTTAAGCAATATTATTTGAAAAAACACTTTTGCTAATTTATACCTATAAAGATTAGCTTACTTGGAGAATGCCTTTGTTTAATTCATAACTAAATTTCTCCAAATTAATATTTGAGTTGAAAATTTTTAGAAGATACAGGCTAGGATTTTAATTTGTGCTAATATTTAAATTGCTTAATTTAAATACGTCATTAAACAAAGTTGTTAGCTAATCATTCAAAATATATTAATTAAATGATTAGATTAGCTACACTTAGTTATTATTTTGAATTGTTGAGTTGTTGATAAAAACTAATTAGCATCCGAAAAAGTTTAAAATAAAATCAGTTTAAAAGTTTTGTTCCTAAACTTGTAAATGCCTTCTAATAAAGTTATTATTCAGGTAATTATTTTAATTATTGCTTATTCTAATATTTTGTATTGTTAAATTATTTATCTAGGTAAATTAAAATAAAGAATTAACATTTTAATTATTCGATATATTAACTCCATCTATAAAAATAGTTTAAACATTTTTGAAATTCAAAAGAGTCGAATTTTAATTTAAATTTAGCTCAGAGTTAGTAATTTCTAAATCATAAATGAAGATTTAAGGTATGTCAACAAAGTTAAAAATTTAAGAAGAAATGCTACTTTTCTTACATACTTATAATTTAGAAATCTTTATTGACTAAAACACAACTTTTTTAACACTTGTTAAGTTGAACTAGATATTATCAATACATTAATTTTATATGGTTATATTTTACCAAATAACAATTTATACATTTTAGTTTAACGAGATTTTAATTGATGTATTATCATTATCAAATATTAAATTATAATTAAAGATTTGCAAAATAGGTTATTAAAAGTAATTAAACGTTTAATTAGTTATTGTAAGGTTGTTATTGCTTGGTTAAGGATAAAATAGGTAGTTTGAATTTGTAATTTAATTCAAGAAAATATAATTATTCACACTTAAAAATTAGTCACTTGTCAATTACAGATAAATTATATTCTACCAATTTTATTAATTACTAGTAGAAGATCCTAATGTTGTGTAAATCATATTTTATTTAGGAGAGATGTTAGATATTTTTCTATTTAATTGCGAAATATCGCTATCACTTATGATAGTAGAACAATCAAATTACTCATCATTATCATATAAAGATATACTTAAATTATTTTCAAACACTCCAAGCTAATGTAACCCATAAAGTTTTAAAATGTTAGTTTCTGGAATATAAATAGAACCTAAATATCTAGGGTAGTCAAATTATTATTAGAATATTATACTACTAGAGTAGTTTTATAAGAGAAAAACCTCATATTTTTAAATGAAAAATATTAAAATAATGTTATTATTTATTATTTGATAATCTGTAATCTAATCATTTGATAATTTTCTTTTAATATATGTAACCAAAGATATTTCATCTGAAAGAGAGTAAATATTTAACTAAAATGAACAAAAAGTTATTATGTAGTTTTAAATTATTTATATCTGATTTCCTTAATCTTTTGTGAATGCTAGGTATAATTCTAGTTAATTTGTAGAAAAGTTCCAAACGTATGCCTTTTTTTATCCATTAAAAAAATAAATATATCTCGAATAAGTAAAGTCAATAATTAACTCTTTTAAAATAATTTAGGGATCTTCATTTACCAAAGAAATAAGATTTATTTATTAAGTAGGTTTTTTATTTGATAAGTCTATAATTTAGAGCATACCACCACTTGAAGCAAAATAAAGTATTTCATTTTGTTAAGACTCATCAAAAATAATAGAAATAACTGATGTATTAATTATTTAACTGCTATTTTAAAGCATAAAGTATTATTTGTTTAAATCTTTAAAATTGTAGAGTAAAACCTAACCATTACTTAATCCTACAAATATTTTATTATAATCTTTACTGAATATTTGTTAAGTTACTAAAACAAAGGGTTATATTTAGGCAAAATCAATTATTTCTCCGCTTGTAATATTACAAAAGATAATTTTTTAATCAAAGGTTAGATAAATGTTAAATTCCAAAAATTTAAAAAATTAAATTTATTTTAGAACTTTAATAACTGGTATTTAATTATTAGTTTTTGAGTATTCATAATTTTGATAAAACAAAATTTAATCTTTCTAAGCAATAATTAAAGTATCCTATTTATAATGATACATACAATCTACAATTTAAGAACCATCAATAATATTTTCAAAATTTATATTAAACTACTAATATCTGAACATTATATTGTCACTGTTGAAAAACAAAAATTCTAAAGTGTTATTATTTATTGGTATAGATGTTTGAAAATTATTAGGTTCACTCAGCTGTGATTCATATTCAAATCCTGACAAAGTATAGTCAATTTAGTAGATAGTTTATGTACTAAATATTAATAAATTATTAGTTATATTGTCATATGATAAGCCAACTAAAAACTCATTTCTATCACTTATCTCTGTTATTTTATAATTACTTTGAATTGCAAAATCTGCATATAAACGGTAGATATAAACGTTTCCAAATGTATCTAAATAAACAATTTCGGCAGAACTATAATCAAAGAACATATCTACAACATCTCCAAGTAAGTTTGATGGAAATGAACCATTAATTTTTGCAATATTTTACAAAGATTCTGAATCATAAATATAAATTTAGGCAAATAATCCCATATTTGTTGTGATTACAATATAATTTAAAAAGTCTATAAAAATGTATTTTGTAATAAATAACCCAGATGGTGCTTAGATAAAATTCTACCATAAATTCAATGATTATCTCTCAACGAAATATATATCTTATAATTTTTAAAAAGTAAATTTTACTATTAAATTATTTTTTAAGAATTTAAAATAAAATAAATTTAAAATTTATTACATTATTAGGATTGGAATATTAAGCGAGTGTCTGTAATACTAAAAGAAACAAATAAAGTATTAAACTTATATTCAAGATTGTAAACTCCATTAAAATTATAAATTTATATTTGCTCATTATATAAAAATATATTCTAGTATTATTCATCCACAGAAATATAGAATAAGCTTGTAAAGCCATTAACTTATACACTTTAGAAAGTAAATTAGTTAACAAATTTCTTTATTATCACAAATTCGTCAAATGAGACACCGCATATTATTACTTAGGATGTATCTTAACACTAATAGAATTTTTTATTTTAATACAAATCTGGAGCAATTTACAAAACTTTCATCTAAGAATTAAGTAGTTGAAAACTGCTACCATAGATATAAAAGTTATTTGAAGAAGAGTCAAATATCCATCCATTTATAATATTCATTCCTTTATAGTAATATTTTTAGGAAGTCTTACCATATATAGCATAAAGTAGTTAATTTTAATTCCAACAGATAATGCTCTTATTATTTTAAAATAAACTAAATGAAGTAAATGGAGGATCATTAGATGATTAAGGGGTTAAATATTCTATAAACTTATTCGTAAAAATACTAAAAGATGATATTTAGTATTTTGTTCTGATAAAATACATTCCTAGATGTGCACTTTAAATAATTTCAAGTATTTAATCATTCACTTAGCTGATTGAGAGAAATTAATTTGTTGGGATCTCAATATATCTGTCTTTTTATATTTTAGCAGTATAAATCAAACCTGAATTAGTACCAATATAGCTCATGAAATTTAAAGGCGATCCAATCATATTATTTTAAGATGCTGATTATTTATCATTATTAAGATATTCATGACCAGTAATATATGTAATATTTTTGTTTATATCAATTTAATAATCTTTAAATAGAGTATAAAAGCTTAATATAATTGATCTATTAAAAGTGTAGAGTACAGTTCCATATCCATTCACAATTTTCTTAGGATAGTCTATAACA